CTTCCATCCCCAAAACGCGGAAGGACCCGCACATGTGCAGGAAGTGCAGCGGGCGAGCGTCAATGACCGATGTTGCTTGCAACCCTCTCACGCCCTTGCTGGCTTGGTAATAGGACCAGAAAAGCGCAGCCACGTGACCCGGCGGAAGAAAAACGCACGGAACGAGTGCTTCCACCCCAAAAACGCGGAAGGACATGCGCATGTGCAGGAAGTGCAGCGGGCGCTCTTCATTCGCGAGCGCCGATGACCGATGATGCTTGCAACCCTCCCACGCCCTTGCTGGCTTGGTAATAGGACCAGACAAGTGCAGCCACTTGTCCCGGCGAAAGAAAAACACTCGCAACTAGCGCTTCCACCCCCAAAACGCGGAAGGACCCGCACATGTGCAGGAAGTGCAGCGGGTGCTCTTCATTCGCGAGCGCCGATGACCGATGATGCTTGCAACCCTCCCACGCCCTTGCTGGCTTGGTAATAGGACCAGACAAGCGCAGCCACGTGACTCGGCGGAAGAAAAACGCTCGGAACGAGCGCTTCCACCCCCAATACTCGGAAGGACCCGCACATGTGCAGGAAGTGCAGCGGGCGCTCTTCATTCACGAGCGCCGATGACCGATGATGCTTGCAACCCTCCCACGCCCTTGCTAGCTTGGTAATAGGACCAGACAAGCGCAGCCACGTGACCCGCGAGAAGAAAAACGCTCGGAACGAGCGCTTCCATCCCCAAAACGCGGAAGGACCCGCACATGTGCAGGAAGTGCAGCGGGCGCTCTTCATTCGTGAGCGCCGATGACCGATGATGCTTGCAACCCTCCCACGCCTTTGCTGGCGTGGTAAAAGGATTAGACAAGCGCAGCCACGTGACCCGGCAGAAGAAAAACGCTCGGAACGAGCGCTTCCACCCCCAAAACGAGGAAGGATCCGCACATGTGCAGGAAGTGCAGCGGGCGCTCTTCATTCGCGAGCGTCGATGACCGATGATGCTCGCAACCCTCTCACGCCCTTGCTGGCTTGGTAATAGGACCAGAGAAGCACAGCACAGTGACCCGGCGGAAGAAAAACGCTCGGAACGAGCGCTTCCACCCCCAAAACGAGGAAGGATCCGCACATGTGCAGGAAGTGCATCGGGCGCTCTTCATTCGCGAGCGTCGATGACCGATGATGCTCGCAACCCTCCTACGCCCTTGCTGGCTTGGTAATAGGACCAGACAAGCGCAGCCACGTGACCCGGCGGAAGAAAAACGCTCGGAACGAGCGCTTCCACCCCCAAAACGCGGAAGGACCCGCACATGTGCAGGAAGTGCAGCGGGCGCTCTTCATTCGCGAGCGTCGATGACCGATGATGCTTGCAACCCTCCCACGCCCTTGCTGGCTTGGTAATAGGACCAGACAAGCGCAGCCACGTGACCCGGCGGAAGAAAAACGCTCTCAACGAGCGCTTCCACCCCCAAAACGCGGAAGGACCCGCACATGTGCAGGAAGTGCAGCGGGCGCTCTTCATTCGAGAGCGCCGATGACCGGTGATGCTTACAACCCTCCCACGCCTGGACATACCAGACAAGCGCAGCCACGTGACCCGACGGAAGAAAAACGCTCGGAACGAGCGCTTCCACCCCCAAAACGCGGAAGGACCCGCACATGTGCAGGAAGTGCAGCGGGCACTCTTCATTCGCGAGCGCCGATGACCGATGATGCTTGCAACCCTCCCACGCCCTTGCTGGCTTGGTAATAGGACCAGACAAGCGCAGCCACGTGACCCGGCGGAAGAAAAACGCTCGGAACGAGCGCTTCCACCCCCAAAACGTGGAAGGACTTGCGCATGTGCAGAAAGTGCAGCTGGCGCCCTTCATTCGCGAGCGCCGATGACCGATGATGCTTGCAACCCTCCCACGCCCTTGCTGGCTTGGTAATAGGACCAGAGAAGCGCAGCCATGTGTCCCGGTGAAAGAAAAACGCTCGGAACGAGCGCTTCCACCCCCAAAACGCGGAAGGACCCGCACATGTGCAGGAAGTGCAGCGGGCGCTCTTCATTCACGAGCGCCGATGACCGATGATGCTTGCAAACCTCCCACGGCAATGCTGGCTTGGTAATAGGACCAGACAAGCGCAGCCACGTGTCCTGGCGGAAGAAATACGATCGGAACGAGCGCTTCCACCCCCAAAACGCGGAAGGACCCGCACATGTGCAGGAAGTGCAGCGGGCGCTCTTCATTTGCGAGCGCCAATGACCGATGATGCTTGCAACCCTCCCACGTCCTTGAGAGTGGCTTGGAAATAGGACCAGACAAGCGCAGCCACGTGACCCGGCGGAAGAAAAACGCTCGGAACGAGCGCTTCCAGCCCCAAAACGCGGAAGGACCCGCACATGTGCAGGAAGTGCAGCGGGCGCTCTTCATTCGCGAGCGCCGATAACCGATGATGCTTGCAACCCTCCCACGCCCTTGCTGGCTTGGTAATAGGACCAGACAAGCGCAGCCACGTGACCCGGCGGAAGAAAAACGCTCGGAACGAGCGCTTCCATCCCCAAAACGCGGAAGGACCCGCACATGTGCAGGAAGTGCAGCGGGCGCTCTTCATTCACGAGCGCCGATGATCGATGATGCTTGCAACCCTCCACGGCATTGCTGGCTTGGTAATAGGACCAGACAAGCGCAGCCACGTGACCCGGCGGAAGAAAAACGCTCGGAACGAGCGCTTCCACCCCCAAAACGCGGAAGGACCCGCACATGTGCAGGAAGTGCAGCGGGTGCTCTTCATTCGCGAGCGCCGATGACCGATGATGCTTGCAACCCTCCCACGCCCTTGCTGGCTTGGTAATAGGACCAGACAAGCGCAGCCACGTGACCCGGCGGAAGAAAAACGCTCGGAACGAGCGCTTCCACCCCCAAAACGCGGAAGGACCCGCACATGTGCAGGAAGTGCAGCGGGTGCTCTTCATTCGCGAGCGCCGATGACCGATGATGCTTGCAACCCTCCCACGCCCTTGCTGGCTTGGTAATAGGACCAGACAAGCGCAACCACGTGACCCGGCGGAAGAAAAACGCTTGGAACGAGCGCTTCCACCCCCAAAACGCGGAAGGACCCGCACATGTGCAGGAAGTGCAGCGGGCGCTCTTCATTCGCGAGCGCCGATGACCGATGATGCTTGCAAACCCTCCCACGCCCTTGCTGGCTTGGTAATAGGACCAGACAAGCGCAACCACGTGACCCGGTGGAAGAAAAACGCTTGGAACGAGCGCTTCCACCCCCAAAACGCGGAAGGACCCGCACATGTGCAGGAAGTGCAGCGGGCGCTCTTCATTCACGAGCGCCGATGACCGATGATGCTTGCAAACCCTCCCACGCCCTTGCTGGCTTGGTAATAGGACCAGACAAGCGCAGCCACATGACCCGGTGGAAGAAAAACGCTCGGAATGAGCGCTTCCATCCCCAAAACGCATAAGGACCCGCACATGTGCAGGAAGTGCAGCGGGTGCTCTTCATTCGCGAGCGCCGATGACCGATGATGCTTGCAACCCTCCCACGCCCTTGCTGGCTTGGTAATAGGACCAGACAAGTGCAGCCACGTGACCCGGCGGAAGAAAAATGCTCGGAACGAGCGCTTCCACCCCCAAAACGCGGAAGGATCCGCACATGTGCAAGAAGTGCAGCGGGCGCTCTTCATTCAAAAGCGTCGATGACTGATGATGCTTGCAACCCTCCCACGCCCTTGTTGGCTTGGTAATAGGACCAGACAAGCGCAACCACGTGACCCGGGAGAAGGAAAACGCTCGGAACGAGCGCTTTCACCCCCAAAACGCGGAAGGATCTGCACATGTGCAGGAAGTGCAGCGGGCGCTCTTCATTCACGAGCGCCGATGACCGATGATGCTTGCAACCCTCCCACGCCCTTGCTGGCTTGGTACTAGGACCAGACAAGCACAATCACCTGACCCGGCGAAAGAAAAACGCTCGTAACAAACGCTTCCACCCCCAAAACGCGGAAGGACCCGCACATGTGCAGGAAGTGCAGAACGTGCTCTTCATTCGCGAGCGCCGATGACCGATGATGCTTGCAACCCTCCCACGCCCTTGCTGGCTTGGTAATAGGACCAGACAAGCGCAGCCACGTGACCCGGCGGAAGAAAAACGCTCGGAACGAGCGCTTCCATCCCCAAAACGCGGAAGGACCCGCACATGTGCAGGAAGTGCAGCGGGCGCTCTTCATTCGCGAGCGCCGATGACCGATGATGCTTGCAACCCTCCCACGCCTGGACAAGACAAGCGCAGCCATGTGACCCGGCGGAAGAAAAACGCTCGGAACGAGCGCTTCCACCCCCAAAACGCGGAAGGACCCGCACATGTGCAGGAAGTGCAGCGGGCGCTCTTCATTCGCGAGCGCCGATGACCGATGATGCTTGCAACCCTCCCGCGCCTGGACAAGACAAGCGCAGCCACGTGAGCCGGCGGAAGAAAAACGCTCGGAACGAGCGCTTCCACCCCCAAAACGCGGAAGGACCCGCACATGTGCAGGAAGTGCAGCGGGCACTCTTCATTCGCGAGCGCCGATGACCAGCATTTTTGTTTTTTCAAGGCTACCCTGATTGATTAGCCTTCAGCTCACAAGGCTGACAATTCAGCCTAGGCCAAAATGAATCTGTGAGGCCCTGCTCCCCTCACTTCACTTACGAAGGTGTGTCAAACTATTTTCATATCTATGATAGGCTACAATGAAGAAGACTGTAGTGAGTACAACTCTTTATGGTTTGTGTTGTATCTCATGCTTGCTAGTCCAAACTCATTCAGCTGTTCAAATTCTCAGAGCATCCTGACAAGCCTGGCAAGGCATAGGCATGTGTGCGTGCGTCCATCAGCTGCCATAAGTGCAGTTTGGGTACTTGTGTAACAAAAGACACTTGTTACAGCTTTTCAGCAGGACCTTTCCTAGAGCTGAATGTATTGTAAGGCACCTCAAAGGCGGGGCCTAGAGCTGAAGGTATTTTGAGGCACCTTAAGAGCGAAGCCTAGAGCTGAATGTAGGTGAAAAAATAGAGCTTGAGGAGAACCCCCAGGCCGGCCTGCAGCAGCACAGCACCGACAACGATGGGGAACCACATCTCGTGGCCCACTGTGATCTGTGCTCGCAGGTTGACGCCGAGGAAGAAGCAGGAGATGGCCGTGGCAGCCAGCACTATGAGCCAGCGCAGCAGGTCCAGCGGCAGCACCGTTATGAACTGCCGGGAGGGGAGGGCAGGGGGATGGGGCAGGGAGAAGGGGAAGGGGGGGTGAGAGGCACGGAGAGGAAGTAGGTGCAAGGGAGATGCCTGACGGATGATGTTTCATGTGCCATGCCATCACACATGCGTGTGAGGATGCATGGACGCGCTGCCATTTATGGTTCTGCCTGATGCCCTTGTCGAATGGCAGAGAGAAATAGTAGTGGGAGCTAGGGAGGCCAGCACCATGCATCATGCATCATGCATCATGCACCATGCACCATGCACCATGCACCATGCACCATGCACCATGCACCATGCACCATGCACCATGCACCATGCACCATGCACCATGCATCACGCATCACGCACCATGCACCATGCACCATGCACCATGCACCATGCACCATGCACCATGCACCATGCACCATGCACCATGCACCATGCCCCATGCCCCATGCCCCTCGCCCCTCGCCCCTCGCCCCTCGCCCCTCGCCCCTCGCCCCTTGCCCTCGCCCCTTGCCCCTCGCCCCTTGCCCGCACCGAGATGGGGATGTAGACGGCCAGTGAGTAGCCATACAGACACCACAGCTGGACCAACCCCGCGGAAACCTGCAGGTACACACATGACAGGTACAAGCCATGCGCACGCCATGCATGGGAAGGCGGACAGGGCCATTGATCAAACACTGTTGCAGAGCCGATACCTGCTGCAGGTAGCATAGAGCAGCAGTGCGGGTAGTACCTGCAGGTAGCATAGAGCAGCAGTGCGGGTAGTACCTGCAGGTAGCGCAGGAGGAAGAAGAGCAGCAGCGGCACGACAGCCACATAGCCGTAGAAGATGGCAGCAGCCCAGCTGACGGCGTCGATGTTGTAGTGCCAGTGCTCCTCCGCGGCTGATGAGGGCGACGCAGCGTAGCTCAGGTAGCTCGCCAGGTTGCCTAGCGACGCCGACAGGAACACGAGCGTCGTGCAGATCCAAAATGGCCCGTAGCTGCCGTGCGGGTGGGACGGGGAGTTTAGGGGTTTTGCGATTTTTTAGTCGAGTCATCACACGCGGAGAGGAACACGAGAGTGCTGCAGATCCAGAACGGCCCATAGCTGCCGTGCGGGTGGTGGGAAGGGGAGTTCTTGTGAGGTTTGAGTATGGGTGGAGGGGTAGTGGGTGGAGGGGTAGTGGGTGGAGGGGTAGTGAGTGGTGGGGTATGTGGTTGCGAGTTGCGCTATTACATGTCCGGGTTAAGACCCCTCTCCGCACATATCCAGACTCACTCCCCTCCCCTCACATGCCCGGAATGCCACCCCACTGCTCACATGTCGGGGTTGAGGGCCGTCTTTTCGAGGAAGGCGGAGCGCGGGAAGGGCATGAGCGCGTCCCTCACGCGCTCCGCCACGTCAGCAGTGTCCACGTCAAAGAAGGGGCGGTAGAACGCCACAGTGAATACGCCCCAGATGCCCACCGGGGGCGGCGGCAGGGACGAGCCTGCCCCACCTGCGGTCGACGAGAAGGTGTCTGGGAGGGGCATAATAGGGGCGGGGAGGAGAAAGGGGGAAGGGGGGAAGGGAGAGAGGGGGAGAGGGGAAGAAAATGGGGAATGGGATTGGGGTCGAGGAGGGTGCAGTGGAAGCGGGGAGATTGGGGGAGAGGAGGAAGCGGCAGGGGAATGGCACGAGGCAGAGAAGGTGTTGCTGTGAGCCCAAGCAGCACACGCATTGACATGCTGCCATGCCCCCATGCTGCCACGCTGCCTGCACTCACCTGACCCCCTGCTGGCTGCTGGCTCGGGCGTGTAGGGGAACTCTGCCACACATCAGGGCAGGGAGGCGATGGGGGAGGAGAGAGGGGAGGTGGGCGGATGGGGGGAGAGCACACAGCGGTAAGGAAGAGCGGTTCGGGGAGCGGAAGGATGGGGAGCAGAGGAGGGGAGCAGAGGGATGGAGAGCAGACGGGTGGGGAGCGGAGGGATGGAGACGGGTGGGGAGCGGAGGGATGGGGATCAGCAGAAAGTGGGAGGTGCGTGAGGCGGACAAGGAGCTTGCTGCAATCACGTGCGATGCTGGACACAGGAATATCGGCGCGCTGACGAGACATACTCGTTAAAAGGACATACCTGGGTGCGTTAGAGGGACTTCGGCTCCTTGGGCCACCTGAGAGGGATTTGGGCGATCGAGCGAGGGGGCGTGGCAGTGCATGGAGAAGGAGGATGGGGTGCGGGTGAACGTGCGATTAGGTGAGCGGCGCACAAAGGAGAGAGCACAAGGGAGCAGAGAGCACAAGGGAGCAGAGAGCCGAGAGCAGGGCACGGTGGGGAGAAGCACGTGGCGGACGTGGCTTCATTGGGCTGGGCAGGGCGACAGCGCGCAGCAAGTGCGCTGGTGGGCAGGGAGATGTCGACACAAGTGGCGGCACAAGAGCGGCGGCGGAGCAGAGTTGTGGACGCGGCATTACCGGCACGGTGCCGATGCGGCCGTACTGCCCCACGTTGTCCGACATCGCAGACATGCCGCCCGCCGCTCTTCTCCACGGCACGCGGAGCGCAGCGCGCGTGCGAACAGATAAGCGAACGGATTAACAAGTCGATAATCGGACGGCTGCCGGGCCGGCAGACGGTGCGGCGATCTGCGTGGGGAAGGTGAGGAGGCTGGGGGCAAGCCGTGCGGATGGCGGGAGACGCGGCGAAGGCGAAGAAGTACGCGCGAGACCTGGCGGTCGTTGAGGCGACTTGTGAATTCACGAAATGCCACGCTAGGTTTGGTGCTCGATCTGTTGGCAGATCTGCTGTTGGCGTTCACTTTCATACGATTCGGGGAGGTGCTTCGCGATCTAATACATTTGAATCGGGATACATAACGGTGAATATTCTGATAAAGGCTAAAGCCTGGCAATGCAAATGCGAGGTAGCGTCTTATCTTGATGAACTTCACATCTTACATATACCATAACTAAAGCTAAGCTGTAGGATAATAATACTAGCCTATCTACTGTTAGCTACTAATAGCCTATACATTGCAATCTATACAATGGGCGAGCAATACATGTTGCCCTACATCGCCATTTTCAAAATCATAGCTATGGCCTATTCTGCAGGTAAACAGCGATGTGCTGGCGCACGAAGGCAGACACTTTCTCCCTCAATGGGCGCTCCTCTATGGGCCGCATCGCTCCCTGCCATGGCATGGCATGGCATAACAGCATGGCACAGGAGCAAGCACGAGCCAGAGGGGGACAAATTATGAGCATTGTGAGGCACACGCGTTGGGTGGGACATGCACTCAGGGGCCATGCAAGCAGGGCTCACAGAGAATAGTGAGGCGCATTGTAAGGGAGACGCAAACACAGGTCAAGGAGGAGTCATGCGCGTATGACAGTGGGGACACAGGACAGGATGCACTGCGACCATGGAAGCAGCATAGCTGCTGTACCAGTGAACGGAGTAGGATCACAAGCAGTGGTGACTGTGGAGCCCCATGGCATTCACTGCCCGCTCACCTGCTGCCCACGCTGCCTGCTCACCTGCTGCCCACGCTGCCTGCTCACCTGCTGCCCATGCAGCCTGCTCACCTGGTGCCCACGCTGCCTGCTCACCTGCTGCCCATGCAGCCTGCTCACCTGCTGCCCACGCTGCCTGCTCACCTGCTGCCCATGCAGCCTGCTCACCTGGTGCCCACGCTGCCTGCTCACCTGGTGGATGCGCTGCCTGCTCACCTGGTGGATGCGCTGCCTGCTCACCTGGTGGATGCGCTGCCGGCACTTGACCGCCTCCTTCCCCACCACCTCCCTCACCAGCCGCCCTCGCATTCGCTCCACCTCCCGCCCCGACAGCTGCAGACAGGGGAAAGGAAGGGAAGTGAAGGGGAGATGAAGGAGCGTTTGAAGAGAGTAGGCAGAAGAAGCAGAGAAGTGATGCACACGTGGAAGGGCTCTGCAGTGCAGCACGATACAGGTGGGTGAGAGAGGGTGCGATGGGAGCGTATACTGGTGCATGGGGGAGTGGCGAACAAGGGAATTGGGAAAGGGGAGTCACTTGGGAGATGAAAGAGCTGGCAGTGCAGCACGACGGGCAGCAAGTCATGGCAGTGTGGGGAGGTGCGGAGAGGGTGGGGCGGGTGTGACTTGAGAGAGGTGCGAGAAGCGAGGGTGGGGGGAGGGAGTTACCTTGGAGAGGAAGGGCGCCATGGCATGCTGCACTATGTCAGTCACCTGCACATACATGCACATGGACACACACACACACACACACACACACACACACACATGCACACACACACATGCACGCGCGCGCACACACACACACACACATGCACACGCACACACATTGTCTTAAACCAATGTTAACAAGCATGGGAGATAAAGAGAAGCAAGAGGGAGGCACACGGCAACAACCATGAAAACAGACACTACTTTCTAGCAACCCCTCACCACCCCATCTTCTAGTGAAAAAGCATCCCGCAGTTCCATACTACCAACCACATTCTCATTCCCCTCCTCCCGCAGCAACACCCCACCTCCCACAACCTTTTACCCTCATCTCCCTTCCCCTACCCCCTACCCCCTACCCCCCATCAGCTCACCGCGGCTTCAAACTCGCGGCACAGCGGAGTGGCCCACCGCCGCCCTCCTGCTATGCAGCCACCTGATGCCACCCGCGCGCCTGCCCCTGCCGCTGGAGATGCCGCCGCTGCTGACGATGCCAATGCTGCTGAGGCTGCTGCTGCCATTGGCAGGGCTGCTGGGGCTGGTGGGGCCGCCGCGATTGACGAGGCTGGTGCGAGTGGTGGGGCTATTACATGATCCGTGACTTGTGCTGCACACGCAGATGTTGCACCAACCGGTGCTGCCTCCTCTGCTGCTCCTGCTGCCGTGGCCTGCTCCCCACCCTCCTTGCCGCCCACACCTCCCGCTCCCCCTTCCACTTCCTCACCCCATGTATGCCAACCTGCTGCTACACTTGCTGCCACGCCACCTGCTGCCGCCCCACCTGCTGCCGCTTCAGGTAGTGGCGGAGCAGGAGGGCAGTCACTGAGGTCCATGTCCACATCCATGTCCTCCTCCTCATCGCTGCCCGTGCCCATGCATGTGCCCGTGCCCGTGCCTGTGCCCGCACCCATGTCCGTACCCATGCTCACACCCATGCTCGTACCCATGCATGTGCCCATGTCTGCACCGAGGTCCTCTGTTTCCATATCCACCTCCATGTCCTCCTCATACCCCATCTGCCCAATCCCCATCTCCCCATTCCCCACCTCTCCATGGCCCACCTCACCATGCCCCACCTCTTCACGTCTCGTCTCCCCACAGGAGGCCACGCCCGTCTCACCAACCTCCCCACCCTGCACTCCTGCACCCCCCCCCCCCTCACCCACCCTCCATGTCCTTTCTCCCTCCCCTTCCCCCACTGCGCCCCACCCCCCTGTCCCGCCGGCCCCCGGCCCACAGAGGGGGATGCTTGAAGGGGTTGCGGCTGAAACAGCGGAAGGTGGGGGGGGAGGGGGTGAGGAGGAAGGGGGAGGAGGGGGTGGGGGAGGAGATGGTGGGGGAGAGGCAGGAGGAGGAGGGAGAGGGGGGGGCGGGGGGTGTGAGCAAGCAAGGCCGGAAGGAGAAGGGGGTTGCTGCTGAGGCAGAGCGCTGTCCTGTGGATTGGAATGGGGAGCGGTGGATAGTGAGGGGCAGGTGGCATCTGGTGCAGGGCGAACTGATGCTTGGGAGAGCGGGGGAGGGGGCGGAGGAGGAGAGGAGCGGAGAGGGGATGATGGGTGAGGGAACGCAATGGAGGGTGGTGGGAGAGGCGAGGCAGCAGCATGTGGCACGGGAGGCACAGAAGCTTCTGCCACACTGGAGAAACCTTCAGTGCCACGTGGCAGGTAGTGAGTGGGTGGTTCAACGGAGGGGTTGGCAGGCACAGCAATAGTGCTGACGTTCCACACGGGCCGCCCTGCCCGCCGCCATGCCAGGGGCAGCGCAGCAGGGGGCGTGGCGGAGGGTTGTAGGGATGAGGGGATGGAGGAGGGGAGGGACAAGGGGGCGTGGTAGTGGGAGGAGGCAGCATGAGGAGCGGTGTGAGGTGGTGCGGTGAGAGGTGTGGAGGGAGGGTTGTTGCTTGCACGCTGTGTCATGTCGTTATGCTCATGTTGATAATACTGCTGCTGCTGCGTGTGGTGCTGATGCCTTTGTGACTCGTGGGACGCAGAATGTCGCAGGGCATAAGGCAGATAGTCAGCAGCCGTGGCCGGGGTGGGTGGGGAGGAGAGGGGGTGGAAGGGGGCAGGGGAGGAGAGATGAGTGCGTGGCAGCGGCGCGTCCATGTGCCAGTTGCAGCTGAATCGAGCAGCAGCACCAGCTGACGATGCCAAGGAGGAGAGTCGGTGTGGCCTGCTGTGCTCCTGCTGCTGCTGATGCTGCCAAGCCTGTGCCTGCACGTGCTGCTGCTGACTTCCATGCTCCTCGCCCTGCCTTCGATGTCCCTCGCCCTGCCTCCCATGTCCCTCGCCCTGCCTTCGATGTCCCTCGCTCTGCCTCCCATGTCCCTCGCTCTGCCTCCCATGTCCCTCGCCCTGCCTTCGATGCCCCTCGCCCTGACTCCCATGCCCCTCGCCCTGACTCCCATGCCTCTCGCCCTGCCACACACACTCTCTTGCTGCTTCCCCTTCTGCGCCACCTGCCTGCAGGCTGTGAGGCATCGTTGAGCTGCTGGCATGAGCTGAGCTGCCAGCATGACAAGTATAAGCAGCAGCATCATGAGTAGAAGCAGCATGAGTAAAAGGAGCAGCATGTGCCGCGGGGAAAGAGGGGGCGTCAGCAGCAGCGGGGGGTGCCTCAGCAGAGATGACCCGCACGTTCCACTTGAGCTTGAACGCGGGGCGAGATGGGGGCGCTGAGGGCGGGAGAGGAGCGGCAGGAGACGGCCAGGAGGAGGGCGTGAGGGAGGCCGGGGAGGGCACATGGGGGGCGGGGGAGGGTGACGGGTAGGAGGACTGGGAGAGAGGCAAGGAAGGGAGGGCGGAAGGGGGATGGGAGAGGAGGCATGGGGCAGCATGGGGGTGGATGAGGGCAAGAGATGGGGCGATGGGGAGAGAACGTGAGGAGGGGTTGACACGAGGGGGGAGGCGGCAGGGTGTGGGTGGGATTGAGGAGCAGTGGTTGGGGGGGGTTGAGGAGCAGTGACAGAGGGTGTTTGAGGGCCTGTGATTGACAGTGCTTGCAGCTGTGCTGCTGGCGGCCCATTAGCACTGCCGCCAGCGTCACCATGGGTGCTACTACTGCCTGCACCAGCATCAGCAACAGCAGGGTATGCCGCAGCAGCGGGTGGTGCAACAGCAGAGGAGAGGGCGTCGACTGCATGGCACCCAGAATCCGCGTGTTGGAGGCCCCACCGCTTCTCAACCCCACCATCCATGCCCACCCTCCCCTCCTGCTTCCTTTCCATCTGTTCCCTTTCTTCTCTCGCAACCTCTCCCGTTTTTGCTTCTACTCCCCTGTCTGTGGCTTCTCTTCTTGCATTCTCTCCCCTGTTTCCAACTTCTCCCCGCTTTGCGTCCTCTCCCCTCTTGCCATCCTCTTCCCCCTTCGCACCGCCTCCCTTCCGTGCCCCATCTCTCCCCCCCAGCACTGACACTGCTGCCACCTCCACACCCTTCACGCCCTCCTCGCCACTATCAGCCTTCTCACCCGCCTTCTCACCCGCCTTCTCACCCGCCTTCTCACCCGCCTTCTCGCCCGCCTTCTGCACATCCCCCTTGGCCTGCCCCACCACTTCATCCTGCCTGCCCGCCTGCACTGCCTGCTGCTGCCCCTGCTCCTGCTGTTGCTGCAGCTGCTGCTGCTGCTGCTGTTGCTGCAGCTGCTGCCACCGCCTCAGCCTCTCCTGCGCTTTGCCTGCTCCTCCACGCATCTTCCTGCCTCTCGCCTCTGTCACACCTCCCTTTGCGTCTGCCAAACCTCCCTGCACGTCTGCCAAACCTCCCTGCACGTCTGCCAAACCTCCCTGCACGTCTGCCAAACCTCCCTGCACGTCTGCCAAACCTCCCTGCACGTCTGCCAAACTTCCCTGCGTGTCTGCCACACCTCCCTTCGCATCTACCAAACTTCCCTTCACAACCGTCGCACCTCCCTTCGGGTCCGTCGCACCTCCCTTCGCGTCCGCTGCACCTCCTGCCGAACCTCCCTTCGCGTCCGCCGCACCTTCCGCCGAACCTCCCTCTGCGTCTGCCAAACCTCCATTCGCGTCTGCCAAACCTCCCTTCGTGTCTGCCAAACCTCCCTTCGCGCCCACCACACCTGCCCGTGCCCCGCTGCACCCCATGACATCCCCGACCCCTTTCTCTCGCCCTCCAGCCTTCACCTGCACGGGACCCTGCTCCTCCCCCTGCAACGCATCCCTCCTCCTCCCTTCCACCACCCCCCGCTTCCCCCCCACCACCTCCCGCTTCCCCTCCTCCAGCGCCCCAGCCCTCGCCTCTTTGTGTGCCGTGGCCGCCCCCCCTTGCAATCCGCCTTTGGAAGGCCGCCTTGCCTCGGCCCGCCTCTTCCCCTCGCCACCCACGCCTGACCCCCTCCCCCTCCCGCACTCCCTCTCCGCACGTCCCCCTCTCACACGCCCCTCTTGCCGCCGCTCCTGCTTCTCCTGCTGTTCCTCCTCCTTCTGCTGCTGCTGCTGCTGCTGCTCCTGCTGCTGCTCCTGTTGCTGCTCCTGTTGCTGCTCCTGCTTCTGCTGCTCCACCCACTGCTGCTGCTCTTGCTGCTGCTGGCCCTGCAGGCACTGCCGCCCTTGTTCCTCCAACTCACCCACCTGCTGCTGCACGCAGCTCAAAGGGGTGTTCACAGGCGGGCAGCTCTGCCAGCCCTGCCCACGCACTGCCACATCATCCGGCTTAGTCTCCACTCCAGGGGGCATGTGCTGCTGGGGCAAGGACTTTTCAGGCGCCTCAAAAGACATGCGCCGCTGGGGCAGGGAACGGGTCGTGTCAATCAGGCAGTGCTCTCGCTGTGTCATAGCACCCGCACTGCATTGCCCAATGGCCATGACATCGACTCCAGGTGGAACTAACTTCCGGACAGCTAGGTCAGCAGCCATCGGTTTCAAGTCAGCAACTATCGGTTTTACGTCAGCAGTTACCGTTGTCACATCAGCAGCTGGTTTCTTCTCAGCAGCTACCGGTTTCACGTCAGCAGCTGTCGGCACTATGTTAGTCAACTCATCTGAAACCAGATCCATGTCAATAAGCTCTGGTTTCATGTCAGTCAAATCAGATGTCATGTCAGTGTAATGTTGTTCTATGTCAGTAAAGCCTGGTGTAACGTCCGTACACTCTACCTTCACATCAATCCGTCCTGATGCCACGTCAGTCGAATCCTTGAACTTGTCAGTCATGCCAGCGGAGTGAGCAGTGTCAGTTGTCGAAGCTGCTTTTTCCTCCTCACGCGCACCCCCTGTCGCCAGCATGGCATGTGCTCTAGCAGCATGCCACCACCCACCGTGCTGCACGGCCCATGGCATCGCTGCCTGTGCGTACCTCATGGCTCGCCCTGCCGCCACCCCTGCTGCTCCATGCCCATGCATGCATGCATCGTACCACTGCTGCTGCCCGCTTCCCTGCTGCTGCACCCCTCCCTGCTGACCCGCTCCCTGCTGCCCTGGTGCTTGGTGCGCGGCAGGCTGCTGCATTGCTGCCTGCTGTACTGACGAATGCTGCACTGACGCCATGCCATGTGCCGTGTCATACGGCATCCCATATGCCGCCAGGCCTTGTGCTCCTGCCCAATTCCCAATTCCGCCCAATCTCCCCCCCCACCCCATTTCCCCACCCCACGCCATTCCAACACTCCCCAGTCCATCCCGTGTGCCCTCCCCACCGCCCACGCCTGCACCACCCATGCCCCCACTGCCAATGCCACTATCCCTCACGCCTCCAATTACGACAGCACCAGCCATATCGCCTGCCTGTACATCCCCATGCACGGGCCCATGCATGTCTACACGTCCGCCCGCATGCCCCTCTACATGCACATCAGCATGCACATCAGCATGCACATCAGCATGCACGGGGATTTCCTTCACCACCCACTTGAACAGAGGCCGAGGCGGCACGGGCACAGCACGAACGGCCGCTACTTCACACTCAGGCAACGTGGCAGACCCACGTTCACCACTTGCCCACGCTTCTGCTGCCACTGCCCTGCTCCCTGCAGCTGCGTCACCTGCACCCATGCCTGCCGCCACACGCCCTTCACCATGCGCCCCTGCACCCCATGCTGGACCACCCGCCCCTGCAACCCCTGTCTCACCAGTCTGCGCCCCTGCCACCTGCGCATCTCCCCTCCACGTCCCTCCCATGCACTCCCCTCCACGCGTCCCCCTCGCCTCCTCTGCTGCTGCCGCACTGCCTCCCACCTTAACGCAAGTCCCAGCAGCCGCAGCAGCAGCAGCAGGTGGAGCAGAGGCAAACGGGACATGGGAGGCGCCAGGGAAAATATCCAAGGCATGACTGGTGGCTGATGCTGCAGCATGCCACGTGGCATGGGGTGGCACACTGCATGCTGCACCTGATGCTGCTGCATGCACCACGGCACCATGCCATGTGCTGCCCGCACTGCCCGCCAAAGGCGCTGTGGGCAAGGCAGCAGGGGACGAGGGTGACCTTTGGGACGACTCAAAAACAGCAGGGCACGAGGGAGGTGGTTGGTGTGCGGGCACAGGCGCTGCTGCCGCTGCTGCTGACCCTCCCATCTCTTCTCCACTCTCTGTGTTAACAGCTGCAGCAGCAGCAGTATGGGCAGGAGGAGGAGCATCAGCAGCCGCGACTGGCAATGCAGGGTCTGGAACGTCCTTGCCCACTCCGACCACACGCCCCTGGCCCTCTCCTCCTTTCTGCCCTCCCTTCTCCCCTCCGTTTTCCCCTCCCTTCTCCCTCCCCTTCTCCAATCCCTTCTCCCCTCCCACGTTCCTCCACGCCTGCCGCCTCTTCGCCCCCTTAGAGGCAGCAGAAGCGGCAGCTGGTGCAGCGCAGCGTTCAGGGCAGCATGCAGGGCAGCGTTCAGGGCAGCGTTCAGGGCAGCGTTCAGGGCAGCGTTCAGGGCAGCGTTCAGGGCAGCATTCAGGGCAGCATTCAGGGCAGCGTTCAGAGCAGCGTTCAGGGCTGGTAAAGGGCGCCGTGTGAGGCTGGCAGGCGTGCTGAGGGGCGTGCTGGGGGGCATGAAGGGACGAAAGCTTGGGAGAGGGGGATGGGGGCGTGGGAGAGGGGGATGGAGGCGTGGGCGAGGGGGGTGGGGGTGTGGGCAAGGAAGCAGCAGCAGGAACTGGGTGAACCGCAGGCTGCGATGCAGAGAGCGCGATAGGAGAGGTGGGAGGTGATGCAACGGGTGGAACGACATGTGGCACAGCAAAGGGGGAAGCGGGCACAGGGGGAGCAGGCGGGGCAGAGGGGGCAGCGGAGGGGGCATGTGGTTGAGAAGGGGCGGAAGGCTTGGCAGCAGGAGTGGCGGCAGTGGCAGCAGCGGCAGTGGCAGCGGCGGCGTTGGCTTGGGAGACGGCGTGGGAGAGGGCGAGGGAGAGGCGCCTCTGCATCATGTGCTGCACCGCTGCTGCTGCCGCTGCCGTGGTGGCTGCTGAGAAGTGTGACGGGTGTGCGGCCACAGCAGGCAAGGGGTGGGCAGCAGGCGGCAGGGGGTGCGCTGCTGCTGGGACAGCTGGGGCGTCAGCTGCTGCTGCATGGGGTTGTGCAGATGCCGTTGGTGTGGTGGATGGTGCCTTGCCAGTGCTCTTATCACCAGCAGCAGCGCTTTCATTCTCGGCAACAGCAGTCTTCCCATCGGCAGTGCTATCGGTGGCAGCCCTACCACCATCACCAGAATTACCACCTGCAGCGTCACCAGCAACTGTCGCAGCTGCAGCAGGAGCAGCAGCAGCAGCAGCTGTGGGTGGAGAAGCAGCAGCCGCGCCATGTGGTGCACTGCCCGCGTCTCCACCCCCCTGCGGTCGACAGCCCGGCGCACCCACGGCTGCAGCAGCTGCTGCCATTGCTGCCGCTGCTGCTGGCCCATGCTGCTGCTGCAGCAGCAGGGAAGCAGGGTCTGGGGGAAACGCGAGGCGCAGCGGCAGAGGGAGGGCGTAGTGGAAGGGGAAGTGGCAGGCCAGTGGCAGCAGGTGACACAGCTGAGGAGGCATGCCCATTCCCATGCCCATGCCCATGCCCAGGTTCCCCCCCAGGGCGAGGTTCATGCTGAGAGGCAGTGAGAGCGACTGCAGGTGCGGCAGGGTCTGCAGGTGTGGCAGCGACTGCAGGTGGCGGAGGGTGTGCGCCAGTAGAGGCATGCTGGCTGCTGCTGCCGCTGCTGCGGCCGCCGCAGCGGTGGAATCAGCAGCAGCAGAGGAGGGGGCAGTGGGATGCGAAGTAGCAGAGGCAGAGGCAGAAGCGGAGGCCGAGGGGTCAACCGAAGCGGTGGCGGTGGCTGCTGCAGCAGGAGAAGGGTGAGAGGGAGCGGAGGCACAGGTCCCAGCAGCAGCAGCGGCAGCAGCAGCAGCAGCTTCTGCCAGGGAGGAGGTGTGGCGCTGGGGTAGTTGTGAAGCAGCACCAGCTGCTGCTCCTGCTGTGGTGGTCGGGCTTCTTGCAACAGCTGCTGCTGCTGCTGCTGCTGCTGCTGCCACCGCTGCTGCAGCAGACGCTGCAGCCCGTGCAACCGCAGCATTCCCCCCTTCTCCTTCTGCTGCTCCCGCACCCTCTGCTGCCACCGCCATCCTGCCGTGCCCGCGCCTGCCCTTCCCTGCCCTGTGTGCCCGCCCCTCCCGCCCCTCCCGTCCGGCCCTGCCCTGCCACGCCCCCCCACGCCCATCGCATGGGGGATGAGCGCCGCGGCGGCGAGGGTGGAGGGGCGGCAGGCCCCAGAGGGCGGAGAGGGCGGCGCTCAGACGCTGCACCTCCGCGTCCCTGTGCCTGCGCAGCCGGCCGATCAGCGCGGAGAAGCTGGGGGGGGGAAGGGGGGAGAGGGGTAGGGGAGGTGTGTAGGGGTAGGGGGTTAGTAGGAGAGGGCGGCGCTCAGGCGCTGCACCTCCGCGTCCATGTGCCTGCGCAGCTGGCCAATCAGTGCGGAGAAGCTGTGGGGGGGAAGGGGAGGGGAGGGGAGGGGTAGGGGGAGGGAGAGGGCAGAGACGTGAACAGGGACTCTGATTAGTCCATTCAGCACAAAAGGGCGGCAAGGGATGAAGTGACGCATGCAATGATGCAAGGCCGATCAGTACGTGCCATATGGCATGCAGGTGGGCGCGAGCCAAGCAGAAGCAGCTTAAGGAAGGAGCGGGGCAGCACGCACACCTCTCATTGGTGGTGGGCAGGATGGCATGCACGGCCTGCAGGGAAAGAGCAGCAGTGGCGTGCAGGTGGTGCGCGACGCGCAGCAGCTTAAGGAAGGAGTGACACAGCACACGCACCTCTCATTGGCGGTGGGTGGGATGGCATGCGCGGCCTCCAGGGAGAGGGCAGCGGTGGCGTGCAGGTGGTGTGCGACGCGCAGCAGCTTCCTCAGAATGGCCACTCGCTCCCTCTCGTGCTGCAGCTTGCGCCCCAATATCTGCAGCACGTTCAATCCTGCGTGAGGGGGGAGAGAGCGGATGGGGGAGCAAGAGGGGGGAGACAGGAAGAGAGAGATAGGGATAGATGGGCTGAAAGAGGGTTGAAAGTGAGGAGCTGGTTTCTGGCTGCACGAGGTGTGCAGCAGTGTGCTGGCGGCAATGCGATGATATGCTTGAGGACTGCCTTGGTGGTTTGTGCAGCACTGCCTCGTTTTCAGGTGCCTCAAGAAGAGGAACGTGCAGACCCACCGTTGGTGGCGATCATGTGTTTGAGGGGCGCCATTGATCATGTGTTTGAGGGGCGCCATTGATCATGTGTGGAGCAGTGCCTATTTTGAGGTGCCTAAAGCGAAGGGATGAGCAGACCCACCATTGGTGGCGATGATGTGCTTCAGCAGTGTCCTTGATGATGTGCGCAGCAGCGCCTCCAGCAGCAGCGACACCTCCTTGGCACTGCATGGGGTGCACACAAGGCAGGCATGCACACATGCACATGCACATGCATGCACGCACATACACATGGTTTGTGGTGTGCAGCGGTGATATAAAGAACAGGCATGCCAGCGAGTGAGAGGACGCAAATCAAGAGCCCAAGTGCAGAGCATGTGAGACGCATGCTACATGCATGGATGCTGGGATGGGAGTAGGTCATATCATGACGTCACCATTTACCACCATACCCCACCACCACACCCCAGCACCACAGCCCCCACAGCCCCCACCTGGCACAGGTCAAGGCCAACCCACCTGAAGTTGGGCACACCCGAAGAGAAGTCGCCACAAGAGGTGGCTCGCATTAACAACCGCACGAACGAGCGCGCCGTGCTCTGAGGGCCATGGAGGGAGAGAGCGCGACGAGGAGAGATGGGGAGGAAGCGAAGCAAGAAAGAGACATGGGGAACGGAGGTTGAAAACAGGGAGTGACGTTATGTTATGTTATGGAGGTCCTGTGGGTTGCTGCGGTGGACGAGGTCAGAGTTTAGCAACAAGGCAGGAGGAGGCTGAACGGGAAGGAGGAGACAGGAGCTTGCGAGCTCGCTGGTGAGGTTGAGCGGTACGGAGGAGGGGGAGAAGAGGAGGAACGGGGGTGAAAGAGAGGGCGCAGGAAGCACCTTGCCCTTGATGAGCGCATCGTTGCCGTCCAGCAGTAGCTCCAACGCCTCCTCCACTGCACACACATGGGGAGGTGGTGTATGGGCCATGTGTGGGGGATGGACGAGGGTAAGAAAGATGCATACCTAGATGTGTCAGACAACGAGGTGCAATAGCACGGGCCAACACATGTCAGTGCAGGCACCGCAGGCAGCAGCACAGCTGACCATCTGAGTGGAAGAGCACCCCTTGGCACGCCGCCACCACATATTCAGCCGGCGCTGCCTGCACCTCCCCCGCCCCCACGGCCCCCCCTGCTGCATCCGCCACCAGGTCAAACCCATGCCCATGCGCCCCGCTCTCCTCGCCTCCCCACGCATACCTGCTCCCCTCCTCCCTCTCCCCGCCCCTCTCTCCACCCTGCCGCCACACCCTCTCCCCCAGACCTGCCACCTTCCTCAACCTCCGCCTCTTGGCATGCCGCACGCCCCCCTCCCCGTCCTCCACACATGCCTCCCCCTCCCCCTCCCCTTCCCCCTCCCCTCCCCTTTCGTCCCCTTCAAACCACGCCCGCTCCCCCTCCCCTTCATCCTCCCCGCCCCTCCCCTCCCTCTCCCCCTGCTGCGTCCCCCACCCATGTGTTGCCCCCAGCCCGCCCGTCCCCCCCTGCACGCCCCTCCCCTCGCGCCCTGCAGCCGCCCCTCCCTGGAGAGAACCAGGGCGCGCAGAGGGGGAGGGGAGGGGGCGCGCATGGGCGGGTGGGGAGCGCGGGGACGAGAGGAGCCAGGAGGAGGGCGCAGGGCGGAGAGACCTGGGGTGGGGGAGGGTCAGGCGGGATCTCGCCCGCTTGCCCTCCCATGCTAGGCACGCACCCGCCCCCCTCCCACCCCCACTGCCCACCTCTCCATCCCTTCTTTCCCCACCCACATGCACGCCTGCTCGCCTGCTCCCTGCCATGCCTGTCATGCCCCCGCTCCCACTCACCACCTCATGCCTGTACCCGCACTCCTCCTCACTCACCCCTCCCCTGATCCATACACCTCCTCCCACTCACTCTCACTCCCCGACTCACTCTCACCCTCACCCTCACTCCCACTCTCACTGTCACTCCCGTCGTCACTCTCACTCTCTGAGCCTTCCTCCTCCTCCGCCTCACACTCCCTGCCCAGCCCAATCCCCCTCTCACTAACCACCATCTGCTCCCCCCCCCTCCCCTCCCCGTCTCCCCCTCCCACTGCTTCCTCCTCCTCCTCTTCCTCCTCCTCCTCCTCCTCCTCCACCTCCTCTGCGATAGCTCGCTGCACGGAGGGGCGCACGCGTGGCTTCTTGAGCTCAGCGCCGCCCAGCACGCCCCGGCACGACTGGCTGCCGCAGTAGCAGCGCGTGGGGCGCGCGCCCACAAAGCGCTCGTAGTTGTAGTCGAATGATAGCTCCTCGCCCTGCAGGGTAGGGGAGGATATGGGGGAAAGAGGGGAGGGAGGAGGGGGTGAGGGGTTGGGAGTACTTGACGGAGTCTGTTATTGACTCACAGAGCGCTCGTAGTTGTAGTCGAATGATAGCTCCTCGCCCTGCAGTCACGGAGGGGGGCAGTTGTTGAGGTGAGTCAACGACAGCAGTCGACGGAGAGAATGTAACGCTTAGCAGGGGCGGGGAGAAGAGCAGGGGCCGGGGGAGGGGCAGGGGCAAGGGCAGGGGGAGGGGCAAGGGTACTGGCAGGGCCAGGGGCAGCGACAGCGCCGGGGAGGAGAGGTCTCACCGCTTTGATGGGGCGCAGGGAGAAGAGCCCAATGCGCAGCTCGCCCCGCACCATCCACTGCAGCGCCACATGGTGGTTAGAGATGAGGGGGCGATGGGGACACGCACGAGTGGTGGGGAGAACGGGAGTTGAGAGGACAGGAGAGGTGATGAGAGGGCGTGGGTGATGGGATGAAGATGGTGTGGCATGCAGATGTGAGCGCGGGCAAGATGCAATGGGCAGCAGGCAGGGCAGGCCGGCAGGCAAGCAGTCCATCTGCACAGCCTCAACCCTGTGTCAGTCCATCTGCACGGCCTCAACCCTGTGTCAGTCCACCCACATGCCAACCCAGTCAATCCGATCAACCCTATCAATGTGCACGCACCTTCTCAAGGCAGCAGTTGGGTTCGCAGCTGTGGTTGAGGAAGCGCGAGAAGTTGCCCTTGCGGCACGCGTCTATCACCTGCACAACGGGCACAGAGGGAAGGGGCGGGGAGCACAGGGGCACAGGGGCATGGGGGGCGGGGGGCACAGGGGCACAGGGGCATGGGGGGCGGGGGCACAGGGGCATGGGGGGCGGGGGCACAGGGGCACAGGGGCATGGGGGGCGGGGGCACAGGGGCACAGGGGCATGGGGGGCGGGGGCACAGGGGCATGGGGGCGGGGGCACAGGGGCACAGGGGCATGGGGGGCGGGGGCACAGGGGCACAGGGGCATGGGGGGCGGGGGCGCATGGGCAGTGGACGGGCATATGGGGACAGGGGGTGGTGCATCAAGGCCTGGCGACAGTACCTACATTGCTGTTGGTGGGCGTTATACCTGTGCAAAGGGGCGAGCCGAGTAATGCTCGACTCGTCCCTAGCCTTGCTCGGCTGAGTACGAGCCCGAGTCGAGTAATACTCGCCCGAGCTTTTTTCCCCCTAACAGAAACTCGTTACTCGCCTTATAAAAGGGAACTCGGGCGAGCATTTAAAAAAGCTCGTCCGAGTACGAGTAATGCTCGGCCATGTGCCCTACTACGGAAGTATTGGAGTTCCCAGGGCCGCCCAGGGTGGCCCAGGGTGGCCCAGGGTGGCCCAGGGTAGCCTTGCATTGCCGCGGTAAGCACGTGGAAGCCTGCTTAGACCTGGATAGGCCTCGCACGCGAGTACTCGTCGAGCAAAAAAAACTCGGCGAGTAAAACTCGGCTCGACTCGGACGAGTAAATCTTACAAAAACCGAAACTCGTTACTCGCACCCAAACGAGTAACTCGGCCGAGTCCGAGCGAGTAACTCGTCTCGTTGCACAGGTATAGTGGGCGTCATGAATTGGGGCCCTGGTTTGTTTCTGTACTTTCACAAACCGCCTACAATGGTTTGAAGGGGTGCAGACCGTACCGTACCTCGCTGTACCGTACCGTATCGTACCTCACTGTTGTTGAGCGTCATGAAGTAGTAGTGGCGCTGCTTGGCGCGCCTGTACTCCTCCAGGCGCACAGCAAACGCCTTGCGGTTGAGCACCTCGCCCACGTACTCCACTATGAACTGCCCCGCTGCTACTGCCTGCCGCGCCCGCACACCGTACCCCTTGCGGCCGTAGCGGGCTATCTCCACCTTCACGTACCGCCGCTGCTGGAACTGCAGGGGGGAGAGGGCAGGGTGCGGATGGAAGGGCAGTGGCCAGGGATAAGGGCGAATGACGGAGATGAAGGGAATGGGGGGCAAGAAAGTGGGACAAGTTCTGAGGCGTCAAAACAGCTACTGCAGCTGCACTCCGTGCCCCTTGCGGCCATACCGCAAAATCTCCACCTTCACGTACCACCGCTGCTGGAACTGTTGGGGCGGAGAATGTGCGGAAGGGGGCGAGAGGGAGGGGAATGTGAGGTGGGGAGAGAGGGAGGGAGGGCAGGGGGCGGGGAAGAGGGGCATTGGCCGAGGGAGAGGGGAGGCATGCAGCAAACGAGAGGGGTTCATGAGAAATTGGGAGGAAGGTGGTGTGGATGGGTGGCGTGGTGGCATGAGCATCATGCTGCATCGAATCGCACTGCACCGCAGTGCACCGCATGGGAGCACTGACCTGCTGGTTGGCGCAGGTGGCGCCACAGGGGCAGAGCTTGGGCTCGCACTCGATGCTGACCAGGCGGTTCAAACACGCCTCCCCGCACCCCCTTTATTGAGTCGACTCAGAAGTTACCACGTTTCACCGCACTGCACCACATTGCACCACGTGAGAGTACTCACCTGCTGGTTAGCGCATGCAGCGCCGCAGGGACAGAGCTTGGGCTGGCACTCGATGCTGACCAGGCGGTTCAAACACGCCTCCCCGCACCCCTTCTCTCGCCGCCCGGGCGGCGGAGGCACGCACTGGCACACCAGCACCTGCGGGGGAGGGGGGGACAGGGGAGGGGCGGGGGAAAAGTGATGAATAGAACAGCATGTGCGTTGAAGGAAAGGGAAAGTCATAAGACCAGAGACATGCGATTGTGTCTCTTTGTTCGCTTCACTCTGCTTCCGCTTCCTGAGTCCCTGCATTGCCCCCTTGCGAGTTCCCCGATCTGCCTCGTCCTTTTCCCCACTCCATCTCACCCATTTTCCCTGCGCTCACCTGCCTCTCCCCTTCCAACCTCCCACCACCTTCCCCTCAACGCACCTCGTCCGTGCGTTGCAGCTTGGGGCGGCGGTGCAGGTACTCGTTCTCCACGATGCGGATCCACGCGCGCTTCCCCGACCCTGCGCACGCCCCGCCCAAGGGGAACGAAACACGCGCGCGCAAGCAGGCGATTGTTCAACGCTCATAAGAGGTGGGGGGAAACGGGTGGATGCGGAAGGAATGCCACGCGCAAGCGCAAGGACAGGCGGACTCACCCACGAGGCGGGGAGGAGGCACGGCGGGCTTCCCCGGTCCCCCCATGACCGCGCCCCAGCTTCCGCCCACCCCTCCAGCGCCTCTCCCCCCTCCCCTCCCAGGCCCCGCCTTCCCCCGTCCTGACGCGCCTCCCCCAAGCCGGCCGTTCCCGCTGCTCCCCCACTGCCACCAAGGCACCTCCCCTCCGCGCCCAGCCTGCGCGCTATCCGCGCCGCGCCACGGCGCGCACTGCGCGTCGTCGTCGCCCGGGTCGGGGTCGTCGTCGGAGTCGGAAAATTGGATTGCGACGCTGCCGTCGCCATCGCTGCACTCGCTGCTGCACTCGCTCGCGCTGCTCCACTCCGCCGCGCCTCCCAAGCCGCCCCCCGCTTCTTCCCCATGCCCCCTTCCCTCCCCCCCGCCCTGCTCTTTCCGTGCGCCCACGTCCCTCTCGCTCCTGCTGTTGCTCCCCCCTGCGTCGTCTCTCCCCCGCGTGTCCTGCTCCGCTTCGTCGTCGTCCTCGGCGTCGTCGTTGTCGTTCGCGTCGTCGCTTTCCTGCGGAACGCGACAGCTGGCGAAGGCGGGATCAGGATTCATGCGACAAAACCTGCGACAATGTCGGGAACCGGCGGGGAGGTGCGACGACGGGGAATGTGGGGCATGGGGGCCACAAGAGGGGACGAGCAATGTATGTGGCGGAACGGACGGGACGGTAGGTGAACGCAAGGGTCGGTGCGGCAGTTTCTGGGGTTTGTCGATAATTCGTCATCAATCGCAGCGATGACGTCACGGATGGTATGGAAATTGGATGTTTTATAACAAATGAGTACTGGAAAAACGGTTCCACGGCGTGAGACAATGGCAGGTTGAGGCTAGGAGGTGCGGCGGAGCACGTGGAAGCGTGGAGCCTGACACGAAACCCTAACACGGGAAACACGGGGAGATACGGATGGGACGATAGTATGCGGCGAGCGGCACGAGACCGGCAAGGATTGGCGAAAGGACCTTCTTCATATGAGCTGACTCACGCCGCTTAGGCGTACAATCGACCGACCGACCCACATTGAATTTTCCTATTCACTAACCATCTCGCATCGCTGCTGCTCATAGCTCGTGCAATTTGCATCGGCACTCGCCGCCATTTCTTGCACTTAACGTCGTCGCATTGAACCCACGCCGTCCGCACCACCCGCGACACGCGCTTCTTCTCCCTCCCTTCCCCGCTTGCCCTGCTTCACTGCTCCTCCACCCAGTCACACGACGATCATCCCTACTATCCCTAGCGCCATCCATTCCCATTCCTCGCGATTCGCGCTGCGACGTGGGACCTATGCCTACCACTCGACGACTCGACAATTCACCGCCTCGACCAATCGTGTTCCCTCCCCCACTAGCGCTTGTCGGGCCTGCCATGCGAAGTTGCTGAGACGGCCTAATAGAAGGATCCGCTATGACCAGCGGTCGCTGCCCCGGCAAAAAAAAGAGGTGTAGCAGCTAGCCTTATTATTCGTCGAGCAAAAAACAAAAAGAGCAAGATTAGTTTGGCAGGTGCCTCAAGAACGAAACTCGGACCTCCCTGATCACCAGCGGCCGTCTCGTTTGGAAGCGTCCTTCGTTTGACTCCCCCAACCTCGCCTGTCTGACTTGTACTTCCATTACTGAGGTCAGTGATAAAGAAACCCAGCTCAACCCCTTCTAAACTAATCAAACCCAATCCAACACTGCTCGATAACAGTTCATCCTCTCACCGACTGACCTGTAAATTCTTCCTGCCTGCCTGTGCGCTGGGGATGGCCGTGCTACCGTCATCAATCGCATTCCCCTTGCGACTGCAATTGCACCTGACTGGCGCTCATCAACCTGCTTTCCAAGTTCGGTTCGTCGCCGCGCAACCCCAACGCTGGGCAAACCCCAACGCTAGGAGGCAATGCAATCCTCGAGGCGAGGCCCAGCAAACCTCAAGGCTGGGCAAACCCCAGCGCGACACAAACGGACGCTCCCCAAACCGCAATTCTGGGTCTGCGCCGCAGATGATCAGGCCCGCGCAGTCCAGCTGTGCTGTAGTGGGGTGGCGGGGAACCCTCCGCGTTCACGAGGCGCAAAGTTCTCGCTCCCGCCAACCAGATCCAGCCCAGCCTCGCTTCGCAAACCTGACGTGTGTCATGTGCATTAACCTAGAAAACTCCTGGTCGTGAGGGCTATCGAAGCAGCCGTAGGATATGGGCGAGTTCGTATCGGAGGGTGAAGAGAGAGTAACGGAAGCCGTCCGGAAAGAAAGTGCTGCCCGTAGTTACATGGAAGTCGAGTCACACCAACCGTTTCGAGCCACCTCAACCAGTTCGATAGCCGCCGTTGTGCTCCACACAATCAGTAGCTGCAAGGCTTAGTGAAACCTTGATCCTTATTGAAATGCATTACTGTACACTTAACAGCCACTTGTTATCTTCGCTTTTGCAAATATTTCTTGCCATAATGGCACTAGTACTTGATAATGGAGACTCAAATGCAAACATCTTTCGGTTCCTAACATGAGCATTATTGGCATAGACCCCATATACATGGGAGCGTGCAGGAGCCAATGGCATGCTCACTATTGCAATCTACCTCTTAGCAGCACCAACTGCTGGATGTGGGATTCTGCACACAAACATCCATTCCATACATCTCTGAAACAAATGGTAATCGATTTCAGAGAACTAGTGCCAATAATCAATTTACGTCGACAAATTAGCCGCTCAGGCGGTGACTGCTTCCGCTCGCTTGCTCGAGGAGTTGGGCTGTGCAGGCGATGAGAGCTCGTCCATCTTGGCCAGCATGTCCATCACTGCCTCCGCTGGCCAGAAGCCCTCCGCCTAATGGGTGGGGCGGGGTGTTGAAAAAGGGTGACCGCGGTGACGAGCCCGAGTATCTGGAGTCCACTCTGTGTGTAGCGGGGGAGTGTGGTGTCCTCGGGATAGACTGCCTCGTCTCCAGCTTCTGGATCAGGTGCGAAGTTGGGCCCTATGCGTTCTGCTTCGTTGGTGTTGACTTCAGCAGGTGTTACGTAACCGTTGTCGGCGAAGTGGTAGTAGGTTTCGGCGTTGACGCTTTCGCGAGGGTTATCTTCGTCCATCGGTACGTCCACTGAGCAGTAGGGGAGAGGTCCGGCTTCTTCCGAGGCTCCTTCCACGTTCTGCTCGTCCCAGTCAGCTTCGTCTCCTGCCGAAGCGAAGGCTCGATCGCCACGGAAGCCACCTGTGGGGTCTCGATTTTCGTCCAGGTTGGCAAGGTATGTTGGCAGTGTGAGCCGCTCGTAGAAAATGACATCACGTGCTGCTACTGTTTCCTTGGTGTGGATGTCGAAGATTTTCCACGCGTTGTAATGTTTTTCGATGCCCAGGTGTAGTCCCCACTGTGCCCGTTGGGAGAATCGGCCGGCTCGTGCAGATGGGGGTCGGTACTGTACCATGCAGCCGAAGACTCGTAACATTTTTGTGCTGCCCAGTTTCCCTGTCCACAGCAGATGCGGTGATGTGTTGTTCGGGAGTGACGACGAAGAAAGCAAGTTGTGCAGCATCACGGCGTGGTCCATTGCCTCGGGCCACTGGTGGTTGGGTAGCCGCATGCCACGTAACAGTTTGCGCATGGTGTTCTGCAAAGTCCTGTTCATCCTTTCTGCTACACCCTGCTGTTGATGGGCGTAGGGAAGGGAGATGAGTCTCTTGATTCCTTTTTCCACCAGATACTGCTTGAACCGCTGTGACGAGTATTCTCCTCCTCCGTCTGATTGGAAATTTTTGAGCTTAGCTCCCGATTCCCGTTCTGCTGCTGGAAGCCATGCCACGAAAGCCTCGAAAGCCATGTCGCGACTTGGTAAGTTTAGGTGCCAGACGTAACGTGTAGCGGCGTCGATGAAGGTGATGGTGTAGTTATACGCGTTTTGTCCGGGTTCGCGGTTGTACAAGATGTCGCTGTACACTTTCTCGAGTGGTGCATATGCAGGTGCGCTTGGGTTGTGATGCGAAACGAAGGGCTGATGCGGTAAGTCAGCTTCGGGGCAGGTGAAGCACGTTCCTCGAGCTCGCTGAAGTTCTCTGCCGTCGGTCAGTAAGAGTGAATCCTTGTCAAGTACTCCAGCTCTTATCGTGTTGTTTAATACTGTGTTGCTTGGGTGTCCCATTCTTGCGTGCCAGGTTTCTTCGTTGGCGCGGTGTCCTGGCGAGCGTCGGTACATGTCGGAGTTGGAGTAGAAGCCGGCGATGATGTTCCCGTGGTGCCGGGTTGAGCTGCTGCGCCGGTGTCGGCGGCGTCTCGTTGATGAAGGGCTGTGCTGTTGAGGGACCGGTGACTGGTGTTAATGTTTCTGCTGCTGCTGCTGTTGTCGGTGCTGCTGTCGATGTTGTTTCTCCTGCTCCTGATGTTGTCTGTGCTGCTGCCGATGTTGTCTCTGCTGCTGCCGACTGCTGAATTGTCGCTAACGCCCTTGTTCTCTCTGTTTCAGAAATGGTGTGCGAGTACCAGAAACCGCTCGGACTGAAGTCTGGATCAAGATCTGGAGGATGTGTCCAGTTGGTGAAGTTTACGATGGCGTCGCTGTCGGCCGTGCCAAGATCGGGAACGAAGTCGAGAACGAAGACGTTGTTCTTGAGGACCGCCTTCCCGATGTAGAGACCTCCCCTTCCGTGGTACAGCTTGAACTCTTGAGTTGTGCTGTCTGCTTCAAGATGAATGCCTTTCGCCATCAACTGACTGACGCTCAGTAAGTTGTAGCCCAAGCCCTCTGCGATTAGGACCTTGGACATCTGCAGAATAACATTTGTCTCTCGTGACTGAAGTTGAACAATTCCTTGTCGTCGTGTGCGCAGGTTCTGATTGTTGGCGACGGTGATGACAACTTCCCGTTGAAGCTGGTACTCTCGCTGCACGAAGCGTCCTGAAGAACACATGTGTTGCCCGCAGCAACTGTCTAAGAACCACGTGTCCTTTCCGGATGGCTCGTTTTGGGCGATGGCTGCGTAGGTTGGATTCGGTTGAAGTGCTTCGCGGCGAGGTGTCGTTTCATCGAGCTGTTCTTCTGGTGAGTAGTA